GTAAGGAAAAGTCAAAAGTCGGGCGGAGCCGACTATATGATACCCTACACCACTATGCACATTTGGTAGAGCTCCTGTAACAAAAGAATTTATTTTAAGTAGACCTTTGGCTCCCGAAATTCACTTCATTTGGTCTTATATTAGCCATAATTTGCACAGTAAACCTAAAATCGGATTAAGCATATATATGGGAGATATATCAAAATCTTTGCCGTTCTGGATAAAATTTGGTAAAGGTATTTTCGAGTTTTATAAGATATCTGGTACCAAATATCATTGTTGTCTAATGCATATTACGAATGTGAGGGACTTAAACACCAAATCAGATGAAACATATATATGGGAGCTATAGTATATCTGAACCGATTTTCTCCGAAAATTATGTACTTACTTCTGTCGGATATGCCAAAATTCAGGTAATTTGGGCTAATGTTAGCCATTTGGTGCACAATAAACCTGATATCGAATAAAGATATAAATGGGAGCTATATCCTAATCTGAACCGATCTCGATAAAATTTGACAGAGGCATTTATAAGTATTATCTGATATCCGGTACAAAATATCATTCTTCTGGCATGTGAGGGATTTAAAACCCCAAATCGGATGAAACGTATATATGGGAGCTATAGCTATATCTGAGCCGATATTCAAATTTGATTTACTTGATTCTAGACTGAATTCTGTGGGATGTACCAAAATACAGGTCATTTGGACTTACATTAGCCATTAGGTGCGCAATTTACCCGAAATCGGTTGAAGATATATGGGAGCTATATCTAAATCTGATCCGATTATCACCAATTTCAATAGGGTTCGTCTTTGGATCAAACATACATTGTTTGGATAATCGGATAATAAGTGCGACCTAAATTTTGTTCACAAAAATACATTGACGGAAAGTGATTCTATTAAAATTCTCAAAAGTATCTATGGGTCTATCTCGCTTCTTTCTCCCTGTTGCACTATGTTAATTATAACCAATTCAAAAATTGATGTAACTGTCGTTAATTCCGCCGTAAAAAAGTTACAGAATCGCAATACAGGAGCCAATAAAAAAATTATTTATATTTTATTTTTTACGTTTGCCTTTTGTGAAGTTGAACTTGCGATCTGTTGATCTGTCACTCATCCACTATTACGTAATATTTTTTTTTAATTTTTTAGCGGCTCGTAATTGCGTAGGCAAATCCTTGGCTTTTTGGAGTTTCGAAACAGCTGCCTTGTTATTTTCGGTTTACTAACAATGAAGACTAACTTCAGACAATTTGAAGGATATGCAGTTTTTAAAGCTTGAAGTTTTACTTGTCACATGTTTGTGGGGAGGGCGTTAAAGTCAAAGTTATTTTCTTCTATATTTTATAGTTGCAGACTGTTTCATTCTTTTGAAAAAATTAATATATATTTTTTTAATTTTAATAAAAAAAAACAGTTCGAATTATTACAGCTCATAACCGATTTTATATTTCCACACGACCTTCTCGATAGCCACTGTATTTGTTATAAGGTAACAACAAAATATTGTTTTAAATATTTATATGGATATTTGTACATATATTTACCTGTACGTATTTATGTATGTGTTTGTTATCATTGTGTTGTCATTTATTTCAATTAAAGTGTTTAAAACACAATATTTATTTTCTTTTAAACTATTATTTAAAATTTTGGCAAACAAAAAAGAACGAGAATTAAATTCATTAACACTAAATTGGTTTTTGTTGTTTGCTTGTTTATCATTCTATCTTAGACTTATTCTAAAAATATTCGTAATTTTCTTAAATTCATATTAATTGCAAATACACATACCTGTATGTGTTTTTGCTGTGGTTTGTGTGTGTGTTTGCAGTCCATAAGAAATCGATGCAATGTGGACTAAGGAGAATGAGAAGTCAAAATATGTTCCGGTCTTGGAGACAATATTGATACTAATAATTGTCCTGCATTCCCAAAATTTAAAATGAGAAACTATAAATATCCTACCCACAGTTAGATATTCACATAATATTTGCATATTTTTAGTGGGAAACCATTTTTATACCCTACACCACATAGTGGTAAGGGTATTATGTCTTTGTGCATTTGTTTGTAACATGGAGAAGGAAACGAGATAGACCCATAGTTACTTTTGAGAACCTTCATAGAATCACTTTCTGAGTCGATTTATGCATGTCAGTCCGTCTGTCCGTCCGTCCGTACGTCCGTCTGTGCATGTATTTTTGTGAACAAAATGCAGGTCGCATTTATTATCCGATTGAGATGAAATTTTCCAAACAATATTTTTTTGGCCCAAGGACGAACCCTATTGAAATTGGTGAGAATCGGATCAAATTTAGATATAGCTCCCATATATATCTTCATCCGATTTCGGGTTAAATGTGCACCAAATATCCACTATCAGTCCAAATTACCTGAATTTTGGCACACCCAACCGAGTTCGGCCTAGAAGCAAGTATATCAAATTTGGAGAAAATCGGTTCAGATATAGCTATAGCTCCCATATATATCTTTCATCCGATTTGATTTTTAAGTCCCTCACATTCCTACTATGCACTCCACAACCGTGATATTTGGTACCAGGTATTAGATGGAGCACAGAAGTAGCTGTTTTAAATTTTATCGAAATCGGTTCAGATTTGGATATAGCTCCCATATATATCTTCATCCGATTTCGGGTTAATTGACCACCAAATGGCCCGAATTTTGGCAAATGTGACCGAGATTAGCCTTAAAGCAAATACAACAAATTTGAAGAAAATCGGTTCAGAAACAGCTATAGCTCCCATATATATCTTTATCCGATTTCGGGTTAAATGTGCACCAAATGTCCACTATCAGTCCAAATTACCTGAATTTTGGCACACCCAACCGAGTTCGGCCTAGAAGCAAGTATATCAAATTTAGTGAAAATCGGTTCAGATATAGCTATAGCTCCCATATATATCTTTCATCCGATTTGGTGTTTAAGCCTCTCACATTCGTAATATGCACTCCACAAGAATGATATTTGGTACCAGATATAAGATACAGCCTAGAAATAGCTGTTTGTAATTTTATCGAAATCGGTTCAGATTTCTATATAGCTCCCATATATATCTTCATCCGATTTCGGGTTAATTGTGCACCAAATGGCCAATATAAGTCCAAATGGACTGAATTTTAGTACATCGGACCAAATTCAGCCTAGAAGCAAGTATATCAAATTTAGTGAAAATCGGTTCAGATATAGATATAGCAACCATATATATGTTTCATCCGATTTAGAGTTTTAGTCCCATACATTCGTAATATTCACTCTACAACCGTGATATTTGGTACCAGGTATTAGATGGAGCACAGGAATAGCTGTTTTAAATTTTATCGAAATCGGTTCAGATTTGGATATAGCTCTCATATATATCTTCATCCGATTTCGGGTTAAATGTGCACTAAATGGTCAATATCAGCCCAAATCACCAGTCTAGAAGCTAATACGTAAAATTTGGAGAAACCCGGTTCAGAGATAGCTATAGTTCGTAAAATGCACGATAGAATTAGATAGATTTTGATTTTGTACCAAATATCTCATAGAGCTCTGAAATGCCCTGTATAAACCTTTTTACGAGAGCTCTACTAAATATGCATAGTGGTGTAGGGTATCATATAGTCGGCCCCGCCCGACTTTTGAACTTTCCTTACTGGTTAATATTCCATGCATATTTTACTGCAGGTATTTTTTCTTTCTCCTACCCACTTTTTATGATTTTCTATTTGATCAGCCTTTTTAGTTCGAAAGTCAGTTCCCTGACTCTGAGATCAGTAGGGATCTTCAAGATAGTTAGGTCTTTCGGATTTTCTCTGAAATATTCAATTTTCGGAACATTTCTTGACTATCAACATCCTTAGAAGAGAACAATGTATTTTTACTTTCCTCTAGCCAGTCTATCTCGATCAGCCTGTTTAGTTCCAATGTCAGTTCCCTGACTCTGAGATCAGCAGGGATCGCCAACATGGCCGGGACCTCCATTCTGAAATATTTAATTTTCAATAACTTCGGAACGTTTTTTATAAAAATCGTTTGTTTACTGAGCCCTCGACTCGCTGTACCACCCGTAGTCTAAATATCGCTTATTAATGTAAGTATAGTCATGGTCGCCCCCTGGATTAAACAACCGTGGCATCAGAATAAATAGTGAATATTATTGCTAAAATATTCTGGAGGGTGTATGAAAACCGTGAAAACCGTCAGCGTGTGACGGTTTCATTGACCGTTTGAAGGCCATAATTCGTGCCAAAGGTGACCAATTCGAACAAATCTAAACTTATTCCAAAATTTGATGCTATTTCCGACATTGTTTGCTTTCATTCAATAACATTTAAAAAATTAAAAAATAAGGCGTTAAACTTTGTTTTTTTATCTCACCCTGTATATACACAATTTTACGAGACATACAGGTCGCATGAATGCCCCGATCTCAGCGAAGTGTCATAAGAAGTTAAGGTCAGGGTTATAGATTATTGGTTTAGAGACCTCTGATCACTACTTTAATGATGTCATTAAACCATCCAGTCGGATGTCGGAAATATAAAAGAATCAAAATTTTGAAATAATATTCCGAATTTCTATTAGCTGGACGGACCGCGTTCATATAGGGCAACTATTACGAAATTTAGCTTAAATTAGATTTTCGAGGGGTACATGAAATGTTCTTCTAGAGAACGTAGTTTATTAGAAAATATTGATTTCGGATCTATGTGGACATTATTTTTAGCCCCAAAACAGAGAAAATAATAGAACGATCATTGATTTTTTTAGGGAGTCCAATTATGTATACTAAATAATTGCTGAAATCTGTCATTCTTGCTAAAAGGGTTAAAGATCTACTAACTTTTAACCGCAAGCTATGGTGATGTAGAGTATCACATGGTCGGCCTCATCCGATTTTTTTAAGGAGATTAACAAACCTTAAACCTCATACCCATATGTTATATAGATATGTTTATATCTGGATGAATTTTTTTTAAAAAATACATATTTGTTGATGGTGTAATCTGTGCAACAAAAAAATCAATTGAATCATAAAGAATTTCTAGGGTTAGACTCATCTAACAACCGCAAAGATAAATACAAACTTGTAACCTTTATACGTTTTTTCAAACGATTACCGTTGCCCCCTCCTAAGATAGTTCCCATATATATGTTGATTGGATTAATCGATTGGTCAAGGTCTCACATGCTGAAATTAATTTACATACATACATAACTGGTAAAATCCGATAGTTGTTGAAAATGCTCACAATCTGACAGACACCAGCGCAACACTTAAAAACATATACAAACAGTAAAAATTACTACATCAAACTTTCACAGAAATATTTTATCAATTGGGGTGGCTAGCAGGCGGGCAGACAACCTTTTACAAAAAATGCACTTCTTTGAAATTTTTCCGGTACTCATTTTCATTTTTAATCTACTTAAAGAGAATTGTAATCGAGACCATTATTGTTCTGATAGCATCGCATTTGTTCGTTGCACATACATACAAACACTCACATTCAATCACACTCGTTCGGAGGAGTTCTCTCCACCTCACTTCAGACCACATTGCACATTTCATTCCTTGAGCTGAGTTCGTCGTCGTCGTAGTCGTCGTTATGTGTAATTTCATGTTATTTAATATTCGATGATGTACATATATACAAAAGGAATAATACATATAAAAATAGTATTTAATAAATAATGACGAATGAAAACAAAGAATACAACCAAAAAGAACAGGGTCTTGTTTTTTATGCATTTAATTTTTTTGTTTTGCTTGACTTTACCTTTCTTTGGCTTCCTGTCGTTCTATTCTATTCTGTCCTGTTTTGTTTTATTTTTCACTTTTTGTTTTATAGACTAACTAATATGATATAGTAACTTCGTCTGCAAACTTTTCCTCGTGCTTTTATTCCTGTGGGGATTACTGCTCACAGATCTTCATTTAACGCCTATCTTCGCTTATATTCGTAGTTTTGTTTTGTTTTTCTCTAATACAGCTTCCACTTTCCGCTTACATTTAATAATTCATAATTTAAATAAATGCCATCGCAATTTCAGTAGATCATAACTTGTTGAAGCCAACAACTGTTGAGAATATCACCACAGTGGCCACAACAACGGTGAGCAATGTGCGGGTCACTGGCACGGGGCTATTTGTGGTCGCTGTAGTTTGTGGAATAGTGGAAAAAGAGGAAGTAGAAAATAAAAAACGTAAATTAAATATAAATGCAATCAAAAAGCTTTGTATTGTGATTTAAATTTGTTTTAAATTACTTTAGCAACACTAATGAGCAATCGGTTTTTAGCATTTGGAATTTGGAATATTTCATGAATAGCATTTTTCTACAAAATTACGATTACAAAATTCAATATTTCAAATAACCATGGCTCTGATGAATCACTATACACAAATATACAAAATATATAAGGGAGCACTTGTTGCAGGAAACTCTGCTAAATACGAAGAGTGTGGTATTGGTTATCATGTATTAGGCTCTTCTTAATTGTGTCTTTTTCGTACTAATTGTCATGTGCAACGAAAGTTGACGAATGACTTCACATAAGGGAAATTAAGATTCTCATAATTGATATTTTTTAATTTTTTCCCTCTGGGAAGTTTCCAGAAGAAGGTACCAATATATAATCCCTACATTTGTTTCAGGTGAGTTACTAATATTATAATGAGGGAACTTGGGAAATTGTGTACCTTTATGATTCTTATAACATCTACATATGGGATTCAATGTTGTCAAAGTGGAATGTACGGAATTTGAGGGAAAGAAACCACTGATTTGACATTTAATCAAAATTATTGGTATTAAAATGTTGACCTTTTGTGAGAGTCACGAAAAGCAGTCGGCCAATATTCTTCATGTTCCTCAGGCACATCTGCATTGTACTACATCGGGTACTCGATTCGTTTTATATGTGATATATTTGAAAATTATTTTTATACGCTTCACCATACATAGTATTGAGGGTATATTAAGTTCGTCATTCCGTTTATAACTCATAGAAATAATAATTTTAGAACCAACAAAGTATATATATTCTTGATCAGCGTAAAATTTTAAGACGATTTAGCCCTGTCCGTCCGTCCGTCTGTTGTAATCACGCTACAGTTAAAACGAATTAAGGTACGAAGCTAAAATTTTCCACAGATCTGTCTTTTGTCTGCAGGCAGGTCAAGTTCGAAGATTTTTAACACGTATTTTCAGGGAATGGTCTGAAATTCTACACTAGGAGTTCTTTGTGAGCACTTATCCCCCTGAAAGAGAATTGTCTATATAGGTCCACGGTATCGTATTGCCCCCATATAGAGCTACCCCCCGATATTCGGTATTTTGATGATTTTAGCCACATTTTTCAACGGAATTGTCTGAAATTCTACACAAGGAATTCTTTGTGAGTACTTTACCCCCAGACATGGATTTATCTATTTGGGTCTACAATATCGTATATCCCCCCATGTATCGGCACCTTACGATATTTGGTATTTTTAAGATTTTAACATAATTTTTAATATATATGTATTTTTTTTGGAAAATTTTCTAATTCGTTCCAAATGGTGGAGGGTATTCAAAGTTCGGCCCGGCCGAACTTCTTGCTTTTTACTTGTTTTAATTTTAAAGTTGAACCGATAAATGTTATGTTCACTCTTGATCTAAAATAGTCGCAAATATTGGAAAATCGGACAATGATTCCCCACTTTTAGATAATTATTATTTTTCAAAACATTTAGCTTTTGTGCACAAAAATGATCGTACCCGACCTAAGTCTTATCTAAACATTATGTTGCCCAGGGGTCCTACACGTGTTGGAAGGCGTGACAAATATGTTTCTATCGATCTGATTTTTTAGTGAAACTTAATAATGAATAAAGAACAATGTAACATTAAAATTGCAGGAATGGACCATGTTTAGAAATGATCTACATTAATCGCCATACTCCTGAAATTTTAATATGGTGGATAATTTGATATTGCTTCCGTAGAACCCTACAACCGATTTAAGTTTTCTAATGGATTTGGACCATATTTTTCAATTTATTTTTTAAATTCGACATTCAATAGGGCAACAAATTTATTAGCCAAAAATTGTCAACATCGGACATATTTTTGGAATTTTTTTCAAAAATGTTGATGCAATTAGATGCATTTCTCTCAGTACAGTATGTAGATCCTTGTAATAAGTTATAAACATAATCCTACTATTTGGAATAAATTACGTATAAAAAGGTACTTCCATATTTGCCGTATTTTTAAAGCTTAAATGACATATTGGAATATAAATTAAAAATGCAGATACAGGGTGAGATGAAAAAACTGCAACCAATTTTAGACTGTTGTCATTTCGAAGCCATTCGTCTGACAGCTCTTAAAATTATTCCAGTGACAGCTCATTTTATTGTTTACAAGCGTACAAAAGCATTTTGGTGAGAATTTTCCAGAAAAAAAGTGGACGGAAGAAAACAGCAACATCAGCAGAAATGGTTCGAAAAGTAAAGAAGCGACTTGATTGAAATCCGCGTCGCAGTGGCCGAAAAATAGCTTCGGCAAATATTGAAAAATGATCTCGAGATAAAGTCATTGAAATTCCAAAAAGTGCAAGAACTTACACCGCAACAGAAAGAAAATAGTCTCAAAAGAGCTAAAGATTTGCTTCGCTTGGCCGAAAGCAGTGATCTGCCAAATTTGGTTTTCTCCGATGGGAAAACATTCGTTGTCCAGCAGTTTATAAACAAACAAAATTATCGGGTTACTTGCGAAAGAGGTCAGCTAAAAATTTACACTTTCGGTTGACCACCAGAACTCAAGCGCCGGCCATGCTGATGGTGTGGACCGCCATAACAGCTGATCGTCGCCCTCTGCTCGTATTAATCGACCGTGAAATCAGAATAAATGCCGAATATTATGCCGAAAATATTCTGGAGGATGTATTAAAGCCTTGGGCACGCAAACATTTTGGCCGCAGACCTTGGACATTCCAACAAGCCTCAGCACGCGCCACCCAAGAATGGTTACAAAATGAGGTTCCTCGCTTCATTTCCAGCGCACAATTGTCAATATCTCCGGATACCAATCCGATGGACTATTGTGTCTGGAGTATTTTGAAAAGCAAGGTTGGCACAAAAAAATACCAAAGTGTCGATCGCCTCAAGCAAGCGCTTCGCCGGGAATGGGCCAAAATGCCCAGTGGTGAAAGTTTCATTGACCGTTTGAGGGCCATATGCCAAAGGTGACCAATTCGAACAAATCTAAACTTATTCTAAAATTTTAAATGATATTTCCGACACTTTTTGCTGTCATTCAATATAATTAAAAAAATGTCAAAATTATGGCGTTTGACTTTGTTGCAGTTGTTTTATCTCACCCCGTTATATGGGAACCTATCGAGAAGCCCAATTGACAAGATTCAACTAATTTGTTGGAAATAGTGTGCAGAATCCTTCAAACTACCGAAACCGGGAGGTATCGTTACATGCGTGTTTTACCTTATAGCCCATTTTCAGAACCAATCAGCATGCATATAATTTAAACCCTTGCACCAAATGTCAAAGCTTTAGATTAAATTATGTCTTTAGTTAAAAATGGCTCCATCGTGACTCCAACAGACAGATACGAAATCTGAGGGAAAGCAAACTCTGATTTGACATTTAATAATAGTTATTGGTATTCAGAATGTTGACCTTTTGTGGGAGTCACGAAAAGCAATCTGCCAACATTATTCATGTTCGTCAGGTACATCTTATATGAATATTAATACTTCTACATTGTACTGCATCGGGTACTCGATTATATAGGGAATAATTTTTTGAAAATTTCGAAGTTGAACCTATACATTACATGTTCACACTTGCTCTAATATAGACACAAATATTAGAAAATCGGACAATAATTTCCTTCTTTTAGACAATTATTTTTTTTTTCAAAATTTAGAGCTGTTGCTCACAAGAATATTCCTACCTTTCCTAGGGCATATCTAAATATTTTATCGTCTGATTTTTATACCGTACACCACATAGCGGCAAGGGTATTATGTCTTTATGCATCTGTTTGTAGCATAGTTACTTTTGAGGATATTCATTGAATCACTTTTTGAGTCGGTTTATGCATGACAGTCCGTCCGGCCGACCATGTATATTTGTGAACAAAATGCAGGTTGCATTTATTATCCGATTGAGATGAAATTTTGCGAGCAACATTTGTTTGGCCCAAGGACGAACCCTATTGAAATTGGTGATAATCAGATAAGATTTAGATTTCTCTTCAACCGATTTCGGGTTGATTGTGCACCAACTGGCTAATATCAGTCCAAATGACCTGAATTTTGCACAACAGACTGAATACAGTCTTGAAGCTAGTACATCAAATTTCGCGAACATCGGTTCAGATATCGCTATAGCTCCCATAAATATGTTTTATCCGATGTGGTTTTAAAGTCCCTCACATTCGAAATATACATTCGACAACAATGATATTTCGTACCAGATATCTTATACAAATTTTATAAAGATCGGTTCAGCTCTGGATATAGCTCTCATATATATCCATAATCCGATTTCAGGTTTATTGTGCAAATAATGGCTAATATCAGCTCAAATGGAGTGAATTTCGTGACGTGCATTTCCATTTTGTGAAACTCGGCTCCGATATATATTTTTCTATATAATCCTTCTCCAAGTAATATCATGCACTCACTAGCAATGTTATTTGTGATCGGGAGGTACCGTTGTATGGGGGCTGTAGTACCCATAACGAACTTCATATACAAAATTTTGAATAATTCCGGTAAATAATGTCGTTGCTATGACAACTAATAAATCTTAAGGACAAACTGTATGGGGACTTAATTTGACATGTTCCTGCTTTTCGCGTGGTCCGCTGTTAACATTTTGGTAAGCCAAGCTGTTTGTTTGTTTACGCTCCTAAAGGAGATTTTTATACCCTCCACCTTGGAAAGGAGGGTATATTAACTTTGTCATTCCGTTTGTAACATCCCTAAATATTCGTTTTAGACCCCATAAAGTATATATATATTCATAATCAGCATAAAATTCTAAGTCGATTTAACGATGTCCGTCTGTCTGTCCGTCTGTCTGTTGAAATCACGATACAGCCCACATTATTTGACGTAGAGCTCCAAAATTTAGCAGAGCTATTTGCATTGTGTCTAGGATGGTTGGTATTGAAAATGAGATATATAGGTCCACGTTCTGGTATAGTCCCCATATAACGGTACCTCCCGATATTCGGTATTTTGATGATTTATGCCACATTTTTTCACGGATTTGTCTTAAAATTGGTATTTGTAGGTCATAGCGGGTCCCTGAGCGTGTGGCAAAACATTGCATGTAAAGGTCCACGTTGTGGTATAGCCCCCATATAAAGGTACCTCCCGATATTTAGTATTTTAGTTTTTTATCTCATTTTTTCACCGAGTTGTCTAAAAATTGGTATTTGTGGGTCATAATGGTTTCCAGCTGCGGTGGCGGAACATTGCATGTATGGGTCCATAATTTGGTATAGTCCCCATATAACGGTACCTCCCGATATTCGATATTCTGATGATTTATGCCACATTTTTTCACGGATTTGTCTTAAAATTGGTATTTGTAGGTCATAGCGGGTCCCTGAGCGTGTGGCAAAACATTGCATGTATAGGTCCACGTTGTGGTATAGCCCCCATATAAAGGTACCTCCCGATATTTAGTATTTTAGTTTTTTTTACCATATTTTTTCACGGATTTGTCTGAAAATCGGTATTTGTTGGTCATAATGGGTTCCAGCTCCGGTGGCGAAACATTGTAATTATAGGTCCACGTTTTGGTATAGCCCCCATATAACGGTACCTCCCGATATTCGGTAATTTGATGATTTTTGCCACATTTTTTCAGGGATTTGTTCGAAAATTGGTATTTGTTGGTCATAATTGGTTCCAGCTTCGGTGGCGAAACATTGCATGCATGGGTCCATGATTTGATATAGCCCCCATATAACGGTACCTCCCGATATTCGGTATTTTGATGGTTTTTGCCACATTTTTTCACTGATTTGTCTAAAAATTGGTATTTGTGGGTCATAATGGGTTCCAGCTCCGGTGGCGCAACATTGTAATTATAGGTCCACGTTTTGGTATAGCCCCCATATAACGGTACCTCCCCATAATCGGCATTTTAATGGTTTTTGCCACATTTCTTCTAATGTTTCATTTACCCTAAGGTGGAGGGTATTAAAAGTTTGGCCCGGCCGAACTTAATGTTTTTTTACTTGTTGAATTTGTTCTATTTTTATTTAAACATCACAAAATATTCGTATATAGAATTGTGAATGCATCTTAAATCAAAAAGGGTAGCGAAGCGCAACTGCTTCATCTAGTATCATATTAAAAACGAGCACCCAATATAGACTAAGTTTGGAACGTGCCAATATTTCTGTCCGACTTAGGTCAGTAGTGAACATGAAAAATTTTGGTCCCCTGTTCAAGAAGGATAATGTGTCGACCTTAAATTTGTTAGTCAAGTTTGACGCCGTCATCAATGATCCTTTGTGGAGATGCTAAGTGAAGGAATAGTATGCTCATGTTAATTTCGGACAAGAACTTGGCCTGAACTAATGTAGGAAGTTTGTTGGAAAACAATGAATGATTTCGTACTTTATAGGAATTTTCATTCAAAATTTCGTGCATTTGTATGGGTGGTTGAGAATGAGAGGAACGATATTGTTCATTTGCGCATCTTGATTATGAATGATAAAATTATTACGATATTCGAAGTTTCAACTAAGTTAGATTCTTCCAACGATTCTTCCTCATCGAACTCGTTCAAAGTTCGACACACAAATTAAAATGTGTCATTTTCTAAAATGTAATAAACCTATAATGAATTGTCTCTTTAAGTCTTTGCTTTCATTAAAGTCGAATTGTTTTGCGGAACTATAATGTGTACGTTTTCTTTTGAATGAAATACAAGTGACATTTAAATATTCTGCGGTAATGATCTTGATCTTGTTACATCTGATCCATCTTAAAATTTAAATTCGTTCCAAGAGTTTTTAGTACTCTAAATGCATATGCACAACATCCATATCTAAATCTCAAATACCAACAAATTTCGAGATTCCAGCTCTGTTCCTACACCGAATACCAAATTTTGTACTATTTAGCATTTTTCGTAAAATTTTTCAAACCACAGCCAAATCTCAACACAGAAATATCATAAGTAATCTAAATATCAAACTTCAAATTTCTATCCCTTCACTCAACACCAATGGTAGTTCTACATTTAGTACATTTCGTACAATTAAAGTACACATTAAAGTACTAATTTCCGATTTCAAGCACTATGTGTTCATCCAACGCCAAATTGTACCAAACATAGCACTATTTAGTTTTTTCGTCCACATGTAGTATACATTTCTAAAACCACCTTTTTATCACGAACAATAGGAATCCCAAAATTTCGAATTTCAAATATTTAGCGTTTAGAAGTTTAGCAACATTTAAGAACATTTAGTACAGTACACGAATTTCCAAAGCTTCCTACATATATATCCCAATCCTACTCTCCCAAAGTATTCCCAATTCCAAATTTAAGTATTCCACCCCTGTTGGTTCGCCCAAACACAAATTGTACTTTAATTAGTACATTTTAGCACAAATACGTAAAAATGTCCAAAACTTCTAATCTCCAATCTTATTTCCAATTTTCAAATCCAAATTGTACCAAATTTAGTAATATTTTGTACACTTAAATACAAATTACTACCGAAATCATACAGTCCAAAAGAATCTTAATTTCAATTTTCGGGATTCCATCTCTACCGGTTCATCCAAAATTTAAATTATACCAAATTTAGTACCATTTGGTACACATAAGTACGAATTTCCAAAACTACCTACATTTCTTACTCCTAGAATGCAATAGTAATCTCATTACTACATTTCAAGATCCCACCTCTATCGGTTGACCCTTACCATTTAGTACTTTTTGTGCACATAAGTACAAATTTCAAAAAATTTCTCCATATTTAAATTTCAAGATTCCAGCTCCATCCGTTCCTCCAAATTCAAATTGTTTAGTCCATTAAGTACCGTTTAGTACTTTTCGTGTAGATTTCGTGCCCTATAATTACACATATTCCCTATCAATGTAAAGAAATGAAATACCTTGTACAAATGAAGCCCGTTATATTTCCAAACCATGGAAGGTAAATTATGACGCATAAGCGGTACTTCAATTCTACAAACTCTTTATGTTAACGAGTGATTACTTTTCCTATTTTCTTCCTTTTATTCGTCTCATTCATAGAAGCTCGTATTCAAATTCCATATGCTAAAACCATGCTATTTATCAGTGCTGGCAGACACATAAACTTACCACTTGATCCGGCATGAATTAACATTTGATTGTTTAAATTGTCATAGGGAATTAGAACAGCATTCAGTGAAGTTTCACGGGTGAGTTCGGGAAAATTCTCAATTTCCGCAACACATTTAAGATTCAGTATTTTGCCAGCATGAAAGAATCGGGGACCACTTAAATAGAAATGCACCTGTAGTTTTATGCGTCTCAGGATATAACCATGGGCGGATATACTGGTGTCCACATTTGGCTGTTGTTCACCAAGGGATGCCTGGAATATAACACGAAATGGAAATACAAAAAATTGTCAAAAGGAGTTCGATTCGTTTTTTTCTATACACAATATGTATGAATGTGTATTTGAAAGTAAAGTTTATTTTCTAGTAAATGTTTCTCTGCCATTAAAAAGATAAATTGAGGTTATGGCATTTTAGTTATCTGTACATACCTGTTCGCCATTAATGTACCAGGTCAACCGTGTGGGCACACTAGAATAATCAGAGGTACATGTGGCACTTAGAAAATCCTCCATACGGTACATGGGATTAAAGCTTTCTATTAGTGGATCACTCTGTGGTAGTGCTACAAATAACAACAACAAACATAATGTTTATAGTCATATGTAATAGAAAGGCGTCCGTCCTTCAATGCGTGTCATACCTGCCACTGTCATATTATCTTCTTTGGCAGCCAACTGGAAATGTGGTGCATCCCCCGACACCTCGCATTTGTACACACCCGATGACTTGGCGCTCAGCATGCTCAGTTCCACCTTGCACGATGACTCATTACAATAGTATTTGCCATCGGGCAAATGGACGCCAGTTACAGGGAATTTTATATAGACCGGATGCATCATCGGCGAGTATCTGCGGTTGTAATCGAAAGCACACAATAAAGACATTTACATATGTATGTGTCATCGGTCGTTTATTTATTTTCAATACATGCATATTTTTCTTGACGCTTATCGGATAATTGCATTTCCCTTTTTAAACTTACCTGAAAAATTCCATTTTGTCCTTGTACCATTTGACAGAGTTCAATGTATGGCCACTCATTTCATAGCTGCACGAAAGTGTGACATTATCGCGAAAATCAACAATTTCCGGGACATTTAAATCAGTCACAAATAAACAGCAGACACGTTGCAAATCTACGGGAAAGGAGAGATTCGGGTAAACAATGGCAGCAAAAACATCAACAACCACAACAACAATGAAAAAGCAGTTGAATTAATTTTTAATAAACCTAATTATTGTTTAATTTCCTGAAATAAGCATATATGCAAATATATGTGTGTGTGTATGTATATATAGATGTGTTAATGTATGTATTCATATATACATAGAGACATTTCATTGTGTGTGTTTTTCGAGGGTCTGGGGAATACACAGTACACATTGTTGTAATTTGTAATAAATTTAAGCAACGAACAGACAACTATTTAACGCAAATTCTGTGAGTTCCCCAAAGGATGAATCTTATTACGTATCAGAGCAAAAAAATCAATCGAATGAAGAGGCATGCACTTCCGTAGGATGGGTTAAAATGGACTTTTTACACCTCTATCTGGCGGAGGGGGTATAATATGTTTCGAACCATTCAACTGTTTTCTGACTAAATTTAATTGTCTGTGGTATATGCAAATAATAATCTTATAACCTATCCTCGTATAAAAATAAGGAGATGATATGTAGAGCTCATTATGTGTAATCATCCTACCCTTTATTTTTTAGCCTAATTAAACTTGTGGAATGCGCAATATAAATGATTTAGAATCGTTATACACTCTCAGCCTTGTGTATACAGAGGGTATATATAATTTGAGACTGTCTGATCAAAATAACCTTTTTAACGCCAATGCCTACTTGCATGAAATTCGTTTAAGGACATTTGGAGTGGCTCAGGTTATAAGTAGACGATTTGGTCTAAACATTATACACCGTAATATTTTTATTATACTCTGAGCGAGTTCGGAGATGGGCCTTATTGATACACTCCCTCTAATTGGTACCGTCCATTCAAGTTAAAAAAATTGTTTGATCTTTAAGATCGGAAATGCGAAGCGTTTCGCCGTTGGTTAAGCGGCAATAATCTGTCACAGGGGGTGATACCCTTTACAAACTCTAAGTACCGATTCCTATTCGTTTTGAAAATATTGCTTAAACTGTCCAAATACAGAATATGGGGGTAATAAGAAAACTTGGATCTATATGAACAAAAGGTAGAACCCGTTACAATTTGTAAGTACCGAATTTTAAACAATCCCTTTTGAAAATGTAGCTTAATTGTGGGGATGTACAGGGTTGCCCATATTCGACGGACCCATGTTTTATTTTTTAAAAATCAAAGAAAAAAAATAAAAATTTGGCGGTTGGCAATGTTAATCATTTAATTTGTTCAAAGTAGATTTGTTTACATCAATTTTTGAATATGATATCTCTCAAATGGCCGCCTCTGGCGTTGATGACGTATTGTGCCTTTTTTGCTGCATTTTCCATCGTTTTTGCCAACATATCGGCCGGAATAGCGGCTATTTCTTCACGAATGTTGTCCTTGGGCTCTTCTACGGTCCTTGGCTTGTTAACGTAAACCTTTGACTTCAAATATCCCCACAAGAAGAAGTCAGGCGGCGTCAAATCGGGCGAACGCGGTGGCCAGTCCAAATCACCACTTTTCGACATCAAACGGCCCGGAAACAAATTCTTCAGAAAATCGATTGTTATGCGACTTGTGTGCGGTGGAGCGCCGTCTTGTTGAAACCAGAACTGCCTCATACGCTTTCGACGTATAGTTGGCATCACAAAATTGGTCATCATGTCGCGATAACGCTCCTGATTGATGGTAACAGCATGGCCATTTTCATTTTGGAAGAAAAACGGCCCAATGACCGTTTTCGCACTAACGCCGCACTTCTTGAATCTTCTGAGGATTTTCAGTGGCGTAAAAACGGCAATTTTGCTTATTTACGGTCCCATTTAATGTGAAATGGGCTTCATCGGACATGATAATTTTGTTCCAAAACAGGCAACATTCTTTGCGTCAATTGAATTTTGTACGGGAACAAATGCAAATCAATGCGAATAATCCGTTGTAAAGTTAACCGAGCCATGCCCAACTGCTGAGAACTGCGTTTTTGGGATGTTCTTGGGGACCTCTCAACACTGGCTCGTACGGCAGCGATATTCTCGGCGGATCGCCTTGGTCCCTTCGGATTAGAAAGAGCCTTACCAGTCGAAAATTTTTCGTATAAACGTTTAATGAGGTTCTTAGAAAGGCGCACTTCTCACATTTTTTAACATTTTAAAAGCACGTTGAGTTTTCACAGTTGACTTCTTCTGTTGAATGTAAATTTCAACTATTTCAGAGCGCTCGCGTGGCGTGTATTGGTTCTTGGTAAAAATCTGCTTGGACTGACGCTACAAACGCGGTATGTCATTAAGCGATGTGACAATGTAGACAATGTTCTGCACATAATTTTTAACAATTGTATTTGAAAATGTAATCTAAGTCGTCAAAATACCCTATATGGGGAAATACCGTTAAATGAGGGGTACAGGAAAACGTGGGCCTATATAGAATATATAACAATATTATGCCTCAAGAGGTAGTACCCATTATAAAATCTATAAACCGAATTTTAAAAAATTCCGTTTAAAATGTGGTTTAAATTTCTAAAATATCAAATATCGGGAGATACAGTTATATGGGAGCTATAAGAAAAGGTGAACCTATATTGGCAATGCCCTGCCACAGAAAGTGTACCCGGTACAACATCTAAGTACTGGATTTAAAACAATTCTGTTAGAACATATGATCCAAATAATCAAAGTATCGAAAATATCGAGAGGCACAGTTATATGGTGGAAATAAAAAATGTGGATAGACAGGACAAAATTAACATGTCTACTAAAAAAAAAGATACGTGTGCAATATTTTAGCCTCAATTATCTCAATTCGTCCGAAAAATATCGTGATTACAACAAACATACGAAGATCACTATATCGATTTAGAATTTTATGTTGATAAGAAAATATTTATTTTGTTAGGTCTAACATGAGTATTTTGAGGAGCTACAAATGGAAAGACAAAGTTAATATACCCTCCTGGTTTACATAAGGTCAGACAGGAAGATTACGTTTAATAAGAATTTGACAATAAACTTCGTGGTTTTTACTATTGTGAGTTGACTTCCTTTGAATAGTAAATCACAATATGTCTGTGGATAGCTAACTGAGTTGTCAAATGGGCTTACTGGCTGATCAGAAAACGAAAGATGCATACGGATTGGGTGAATCTTTGCACATTGTAATAATTACAGCTCGTTTCAACAGAATTAAAGAAACAAAAAAGCAGCTAAGATTGGCAAGGCCGAACTTTAATACACACCATTTGGAAACAAATTGAAAAGTTTCAACAAATTCCGAAAATACCGTTTAAATGATGTCCTTTATACGGGGGTTATACGAAGACGTGTATCTGCATATGAAATTTTTAGGCATAGGCTGTACTTCGAATACGAAATTTTAAATAATTCGGGTTAATGATGATGTGAAAATCATCAGAATACCGAATATCGGGAGGTACAGTTAAATGGAGGCTATACGAAAACATGGACCGAAATTTTCTAACTTAATCTGCCTACTGTGTGCAAAATTTCAGCTCTCTATCTCAATTCGTTGGAAAGATAGAGTGATTACAACATCATCACTAACTCGTCTTAGAATTTTACTCTGAGACAAGCGAGTAGATACGAACAGAATAGAATTGTGGAGAGTATAAAAAGGGACCAGACAACTGACTTCTTTTTATTTCCGCCTCACAAATTCTAATAAAACGTACATTGAAATATTTTTACCTAGTTAAGAGCTGGTATGAAAATGTAACTCGCCCACAAAACTTGCTTATTTACAAAAATGCATATATTACTCATAATGCATGGAGTACCCAAACTTGATACAACAAAGCAATTCTAATCCAACTTTAGACTATTTTGGGTGGGACTATGTTAAAGCTCATGTCTAAACAGACGGGTCCGCTTGAATTGACGCATTAGAAGGCAACACCGAAACATTTACCAGCCGAAATTTTGGGAAGAGTATTTCAAAATTAGATAAAGCGGATAGACAATTTGAGGCGAGGTCGCAATCAACATTTGCATGAAATAATCTTCAAACTTTAAATTATATGAACTAAATTATCATTTCAAATAAAGATTTCATGCATTTTTTTAATTCTATGTGTTATTTACTTATCTTAATTTACTTAATTTCAGGTGTTATAATGGGAAGTATCGCTTTACTATTTCTGGTACCCACACCTCGAAAGGGACAAATTATTGAAAAATCATAGATATTATAGATATTTTGAATAGTCTGATCTCATATATGATATAGAGCAACTCTTATAGCCCCAGGTATAAACCCAGCTCAATTTTTGGTATCGTAAAGAGCTTAGCAACATTTTCCATTCAAATGACTCAATGTTCATTAAACAAATGTTCGGTCCAGTGCTACTTTATAATATTCGTATTTTTCATGTCCCTGCCATAATTTCCGACCGAATGAGTCCCAGTTTGACTTTTCGGAATTTATTTCACATAGATGTACATCCCAAATCTACGTTCCCAACCAATATCCTCTGGGGGTTTACAAATTCAATAGAATACAAAATTTTCTGTTCTGACCACACATTAATGGGTAAAGGGACTTGCGGGTACACTAATGTGGGACTATACCTAAAAAAATGCCTATGTGGACAATTATCTGTCAGATAATTGGTAGCCTATTTTTTTTTTCAAATCAATTGAAGAATTTGGTTAATACCAAGATGGGCCCTATTCCGAAAATTGAAAATTTTATGCAAAGAGGTTTTGAACAAAAAAAAAAAGAAAAAATGTCCTCGGAAATAGCTTAAATCATATCATGAATGCTTTAAACTCAATTTTGTGAATGTAGTTTAAAGTTTTTATAACATTAAAATAAATTCGGAATTTGCTGCAATATTTTCCAATCCTTCAAATAAGGATATTAGTTAAACTGGATTTCCGGCACTTTTTGAATGATTAAAAAGTTGTTAAAATGCAATCAATTTCAAATTTAAGATAACTGAATAAATTTGATTGCACTCACCATATGGTGATGCCCTTAAAACAAAACCATTTCATTTGCATATTTAATTTCATATGCAAAACTGTTTGTCCATTTGGCCCTATTCCATTTCACTATCCGGAAATTGTAATTGAAGTAAAAGCTAAACAATAGTTTACACCTATGTTTATTTATTTCTTAAATTCTCCATTTAAATGGAACACTTCTTATCGATATCGTACATAACTTTTTGTTTTATTTTGTAGAGCAAGTTCATATTTTACTCTGTTTTGCATCCATCGTACCTTGTTGGCTGATGCGTGCTATTTACCAGGAATTGTTTTCAAAAACATTAATTTATTCATCTCTTTGTGGAGCAATGAAATTGTTTTTATTGATTGCTTTTTTGAAAAAAAAAAAAAAAAACAAAGTGGGTCAGTGTATTGACCCGTGTATGTGTGTTCGGAATTGTTTTTCGAAAACTTAGCTTTCCAATTGTTATTTCTATACTTGATTTTAATTCATTCGTTTATTGTATTGCATAACTTTTCTTTTGTCAATTTCAACAAAATAAATCTTAAAATGCAACAATATTGGAGCACATACGTACATACATACAAGTACTATGTACATAACATGTATATACAAAAATGTGGATATACCAAAATGCGTCAGAAATGCACTTAACAACGACTGAGTTTGTGTTTCTTATGATAGTGTGGAAGTGTGTTTGTATATATATTTTCAAATTGGTTTCAATGAATTATAAACTATGTTAATTTTATTATTATTTTTCCCTGGATGAGCCATAATATTGAAACTTTGTATGCAATGTTGTGTTGGCTTTAATAGGTAAGAAACACGTCCTCAGTAAAATTTTGAAAGCTGCGTGTCCTGCTTTCTGCATTACAAGTAATGACAACAACACACCTTTACATTACCATTTACATTTATTTCATGAAAAATTACAGAGTGAGATGAAAAAAACTGCAACCAACTTCAGACTGCTGCCATTTCTAAGCTACTCGTCCGACAGCTGTTAAAATTATTCATTATATTGTTTACAAGCGTACAAAAGCATTTTGTTGAGAATTTTCCAGAAAAAAAAAAAGGTTTTTGTGATGGAATTCAGGCGTGATAGTGTGATTTCTTTATATTTGGCTGGAAGACCACAATGGACTACCGTTAGAGCACTCCAGCATTTAAATGTGAATAAATCTTTGTGTCTCGTACCATCTCTCGTTACCGTGATACTGGTATCGTAGCCCGATGTAACGATTTCAATATAATTTGGTAAATGTATGTTCGGTTTAAATTCCGTCACTCATTCCAAATTACATTGGAATCGAACAAACATGTCGTGCTTGGTGTATCAAACGAAATCGGTCGAAAATATATATGGGAGCTATATCCAAATCTGAACCGATTTCAATATAATTTGTCAAATGTATGTTCGTTTTAAATTCCGTTACACATTCCAAATTTTGTTTGGTGAATAAATTACTTGAAATCGGCCGAAAAAATACATGTGAGCTATATCCAAGTCTGAACCCATTTCAATATAATTAGGCAAACAAATGTTTTAGACAAATTCCTTCACACATTCCAAATTTCATTGAGATTAGAGATACACAGCGTCGGTGGACGGAAGAAAACAGCAACATCAGCAGAAATGGTTCGAAAAGTAAAGAATCGACTTGATCGAAACTCGCGTCGCAGTGGCCGAAAAATGGCTAGTGATCTGAACATATCGCAATATTCCATTCGGCAAATATTGAAAAATAAGCTCGGGGTAAAGCCATTGAAATTCCAAAAAGTGCAAGAACTTACATCACAACATAAAGAAAATGATCATGTTTACTTGCAAAAGAGGTCAGCTGAAAATGTGCACTTTCGGTTGGCCACCAGAACTCAAGCCTTGGGCACGCAAACATTTTGGCCGCAGACCTTGGACATTCCAACAGGACTCAGCACGCGCCACCCAAGAATGGTTACACAAATGAGGTTTCTCGTTTCATTTCCAGCGTACGATGGCCACAAAAGTCTCCGGATACCAATCCCTTGGACTATTGTGTCTGGAGTATTTTGGAAAGCAAGGTTGGCACTAAAAAATAACAAAGTGTCGATCACCTCAAGCAAGCGCTTCGCCGGAAATTGCCCAAAATACTGCGGAGCAACATTCGGGCAGCGTGGAACGGTTTCATTGGCCGTTTGAAGGCCATAATTCGTGCCAAAATTTAAAGCTATTTCCGACATTTGTTGCTTTCATTCATTAAAATTTAACAAGGAATGTAACAAGTTAAAAAACAGCAGGCCCGGCCGAACTTGGAATACCCTCCACCATTTGGAACGAATTTGGACATTTTCAAAAAAAAAAAATTCTGTTAAAATTTTGAAAATACCGAATAAAGCCGTTATATTGGGGTCTATACGACGTGGACCTACATAGGCATTGTTTGCCATATGCCATTACTATATTCAAATTCGAAACTTGAAATAAACGGTGAATAATGTAGCTAAAATCATCAAAATATCGTACATATTGAGGTACCGTTATATCGGAGCTGTGCAAAGACCTGGAACAGCATTGACAATTTTCTGTCACAGGCTATAGCATCCATTACGAACGTCAAATACGACATCTTAAACAATTTCGGTGGGTATTGTACCTAAACTTGTCAAAATACCGAATATAGGGAGTTACTGATATATGGAGCCTATACGAAGACCTGGACCAGCATAGACAATGTTCTGTCACAGACTGTAGTTCCCATTACGAACAAAATACCAAATATCGGGAGGTACCGTTATATGGGGGCCCTATGAAACACGTGTGCAAAATTTTAGCCTTCTATCTCACTTTGTTCGAAAGATAGCCTAATTACAACAGACCGACAGACAGACAGACTGCTTACTGCTGTTTAACTTGTTTTATCTCACACTGTATATAAGGTAATTTTTCCATAAATTTTTATTGACAACATCCAACTTAAAACAGTAAAGAAAGTCGTAAAGTCGGGCGGGGCCGACTTTATGATACCCTACACCACTTTGCTAATTTAGTAGAGCTCCACATAACAATTAAAAGTTTTTATGGGAGAATTCAATCGTACACGCTATGATTATAATTATAATTTAAAGTTCAAAAGACTAAATACGCCGAAGCATTTGTATCTTTTAAATTCGGACTTGTATTGCCCATTTGGTGCAAAATTAATTTGAAACCAGATAAAGATATGTATGGGAGCTATATCCAAATCTGAACCGATCTCGATAAAATTTGGCAAATATATTTCTGAGCTGTATCTGATATATTTCCCTGAATATCGTTGTTACGGAGTGCATATTACGGCTGTGGGTAACAAATACAACAAATAGAATGAACAATATATATGGGAGCTATAGCTATATCTGAACCTATCTTCACCAAATTTGGCATACTGCCTTCTAGACTCAATTCGATCGTAAGTGCCAAATTCCATCCCATTTGGAACAATATTAGACGTTTGGTGCACAATAAAAGGTAAATCGGATGAAGTTATATATGGGAGCTATATCCAAATCTGAACCGATCTCAATAAAATTTAGCAAAGGTATTTCTGAGCTCCATTTGATATATTTCCCCAAATATTGTTGTTACAGAGTGCATATTACAAAAATTACAAATCGGATGTACAATATATATGGGAGCTATAGCTATATCTGAACCGATTTCGATCAAATTTGGTATACTAATTTTCTGGCCTAATTTGGTTGCATGTGCAAAGTTTCATACTATTCGGGCTGATATTACACGTTTGGTGCACAATAAAAAGCTAATCGGACGAAGATATATATGGGAGCTATAAAAACAATTATTTGAGCTTGAGGTCAAACTTTTTGGTTTTTTAATTATTTATTTTTCTTTTTCCAATATTTCGAAGCTCTTTGAGTTTCATCTTCAGGGTGATCTACAAATTAAATAACAAAACATACAACATATTAACATTATCACAGCACAGGACATAAACATGTAAAAAAAACGCTTACTTGCAAATAATTAAAATAATAAACTTAAAACTAGCGTAGTGTGACTACTACCGTCAAGTGTTACTATTGCACTGATAATTATTTGCATATTGCACGATCTCTTTTTGTTAAATGCCTGTAGCAGTAAGCTGTGTTGTCCGTGTCTGCTTTGCTGTTTATTCTCTTTGTTGTTGATAAACTATTGATGTGAAGCATCTCTATCGTTAGTCTCTTGTTGTAGTGATGTTCCGTTTGTAACACTCTCACGTCATCGATCTTGGGTGTATGGTTGTACTGTTTACAGTGTTCGGCTAACGCTGTTTTTTGTATCGAATTATTGTTTCTTAATTTGATGTCTGATTTGTGTGCTGACATCCTAGTTTTTAGTTTGTTTTTTGTTGTGCCAACGTAGTGTTTTCCGCAACTTTCTTCCTTGTTACCACCACATTCAATTTTGTAAACTACATTATGTTTGTCCATTTTTGGTATTTTACTTTTCATGTTTGTGAATAAAGATTTTGTTGTGTTATGTGAGCTATGTGCTATTGTGTATTTATTTTTGTCATATATTTCTGACTTTTCCAATCTTTCTGATATATTCGGTAAATATATCAGGGATTTGTATATCTTCGGCGGGTCTGTTTTCTGCGAATCTCGACTTGAATGTTTATTCTTATAATAATTTTCAATTAGGGATTTGGTTATATGTAATGGGAAGTTATTATTAATTAGAATGTCTTTTATTTTTAATTTGTTTTGGAAATGAAATTGTTCGTCGCTTATTGTTAGTACTCTATTTATTAAGTTTTTCGCTGTATTGATAATTGTTCGTTTTGTGTGTTTAGAGTAGTAATTTATTATTCTACCTGACGCTGTAGGTTTTTGATACCAATTTATATTTATCGTATTATCTGCATTTCTTATTACTAATGTGTCCAAATATGGGATTTTTCCGTCGCATTCTTCTTCCAAAGTAAATTTAATGTTTTTGTTGAAACTATTTAGTACTGTCAGCGTTTCTTGTATTGCATCTTCCCTTATAATTAAAAACAAATCATCCACGTATTTCGTCAGTATCTTTGGTTTTGATTGTAATCTTTGCAAGCTTTCGTTGAGCAGTGATTCCATAACCAAATCTGCAATTATGGGTGATGCTGGAGATCCCATCGGTAGCCCTGCTTTTTGTTTGTATATTTTGTCATCAAACTTGAAGTATCTGTTGTCCTTTATGCAAAATTTTACAATATTCAGAAACATGTCTTTGGTTATGTTTGTATATTGTTCTATTTCTTCCCATCTTTCTTCAATTATATTTAGTCCTAATTCTACTGGAATACTTGGGAACAGTGAGACCACGTCGAATGAAACCATTTTTTCATTATTATTAACTGTCAGGTTCTTTATCTTATCCCTAAATTGCACAGAATCCCTTACGTTGTAAACTGATTTTGTCGTCAAATTATTTAGTATGTTTACTATGTATTTGCACAGTTTTATTGACGGGGAATTTATAGACGAACATATGGGTCTTAATGGATAGCCGTCTTTGTGGATCTTTGGCAAGCCATATATTCTTGGGGCAATCGCAATTTCTGTTTTGAGTCTTTTCTTCTCTATTGTCGAAATTATATTATTTTTGAAAAGTTCTTCAACGATATCATTATTTTTCTTTTGAAGGTTTGACGTAGGGTCCTTATTGATACGTTGATACGTCATCATGTCTGAGAGCAGATTGGACATTCTTTCTTTGTAATCATTTTTGTTCATGGCTACAGTCACGTTTCCTTTGTCTGCATTTAGTATTATTATGTCTTTATTTTGGTTAAGAAATTTTCGGGTTCTTTCCACTGTGCCTATCATGTATTTGTCTCTATTGCTCTCTCTGCTTCTATTCATATGTGTTTCCAGCATATTTGTTAATTTTGTTCTTCCCATTTCTTGTTGTTCTTTGTCATTGTTTGTTTGTATGAGATCTTCCGCGTCCGCAATATATTTGAATAAAGGGAAATGTGTTCTTCTTGTTGGTAAGCAGTGTTTGTCTCCTAAGGAGAGTAACCATTTTATGTCATCTGGGAAAGTTTTGTTCGTTTTGTTGACAAACCAATTATCGTTGTGCTTTATGTTGAGTTCCTTAGTCAGTTCTTCTTGTAGTTTGTTGAATTTATTTTTGTGTATTTCGTCATGTTTTTTCTGCGTTCCTGTTATTATGATATTTTCGTTAAACTGAAATTGTTGTCTTTCTTCGTGTGAAAGATTATCGTTTAACTTGTTTTCTATGTCACTTAAAATTTTGTTATTGTATTTCAATTCTTCGTGTTTTTGTTTTATAACTAAGTTTAATATTTTACCTTCAAAATTTTCTATGTATGATTTTAATGTAGATTGAATGTGGTGATTGTGGTAACTTGCGATAAAAATTCTATGTACATTTTTGATGGAGTTTTTGATGAACTTGGGGATAATTCCCATATTGCGGCAACGAATGAGAAAGGTTATGGACGATTTAATTTTTGTTACCCTAACTTTTACATTCTTGTGTTTGTTTATGTTGTATCGTACTTTGTTGTCAGTTTTTAGTTGTTTGTAGATCATTTTGTTTTTGATTTCGGCGGGCTCTCCGTTTGTTATAAACATTTTCTCTGGTTTTTCGACCTTTTTCGATAGTTAATAAAAACAATTATTTGAGCTTGAGGTCAAACTTTTTGGTTTTTTAATTATTTATTTTTCTTTTTCCAATATTTCGAAGCTCTTTGAGTTTCATCTTCAGGGTGATCTACAAATTAAATAACAAAACATACAACATATTAACATTATCACAGCACAGGACATAAACATGTAAAAAAACGCTTACTTGCAAATAATTAAAATAATAAACTTAAAACTAGCGTAGTGTGACTACTACCGTCAAGTGTTACTATTGCACTGATAATTATTTGCATATTGCACGATCTCTTTTTGTTAAATGCCTGTAGCAGTAAGCTGTGTTGTCCGTGTCTGCTTTGCTGTTTATTCTCTTTGTTGTTGATAAACTATTGATGTGAAGCATCTCTATCGTTAGTCTCTTGTTGTAGTGATGTTCCGTTTGTAACACTCTCACGTCATCGATCTTGGGTGTATGGTTGTACTGTTTACAGTGTTCGGCTAACGCTGTTTTTTGTATCGAATTATTGTTTCTTAATTTGATGTCTGATTTGTGTGCTGACATCCTAGTTTTTAGTTTGTTTTTTGTTGTGCCAACGTAGTGTTTTCCGCAACTTTCTTCCTTGTTACCACCACATTCAATTTTGTAAACTACATTATGTTTGTCCATTTTTGGTATTTTACTTTTCATGTTTGTGAATAAAGATTTTGTTGTGTTATGTGAGCTATGTGCTATTGTGTATTTATTTTTGTCATATATTTCTGACTTTTCCAATCTTTCTGATATATTCGGTAAATATATCAGGGATTTGTATATCTTCGGCGGGTCTGTTTTCTGCGAATCTCGACTTGAATGTTTATTCTTATAATAATTTTCAATTAGGGATTTGGTTATATGTAATGGGAAGTTATTATTAATTAGAATGTCTTTTATTTTTAATTTGTTTTGGAAATGAAATTGTTCGTCGCTTATTGTTAGTACTCTATTTATTAAGTTTTTCGCTGTATTGATAATTGTTCGTTTTGTGTGTTTAGAGTAGTAATTTATTATTCTACCTGACGCTGTAGGTTTTTGATACCAATTTATATTTATCGTATTATCTGCATTTCTTATTACTAATGTGTCCAAATATGGGATTTTTCCGTCGCATTCTTCTTCCAAAGTAAATTTAATGTTTTTGTTGAAACTATTTAGTACTGTCAGCGTTTCTTGTATTGCATCTTCCCTTATAATTAAAAACAAATCATCCACGTATTTCGTCAGTATCTTTGGTTTTGATTGTAATCTTTGCAAGCTTTCGTTGAGCAGTGATTCCATAACCAAATCTGCAATTATGGGTGATGCTGGAGATCCCATCGGTAGCCCTGCTTTTTGTTTGTATATTTTGTCATCAAACTTGAAGTATCTGTTGTCCTTTATGCAAAATTTTACAATATTCAGAAACATGTCTTTGGTTATGTTTGTATATTGTTCTATTTCTTCCCATCTTTCTTCAATTATATTTAGTCCTAATTCTACTGGAATACTTGGGAACAGTGAGACCACGTCGAATGAAACCATTTTTTCATTATTATTAACTGTCAGGTTCTTTATCTTATCCCTAAATTGCACAGAATCCCTTACGTTGTAAACTGATTTTGTCGTCAAATTATTTAGTATGTTTACTATGTATTTGCACAGTTTTATTGACGGGGAATTTATAGACGAACATATGGGTCTTAATGGATAGCCGTCTTTGTGGATCTTTGGCAAGCCATATATTCTTGGGGCAATCGCAATTTCTGTTTTGAGTCTTTTCTTCTCTATTGTCGAAATTATATTATTTTTGAAAAGTTCTTCAACGATATCATTATTTTTCTTTTGAAGGTTTGACGTAGGGTCCTTATTGATACGTTGATACGTCATCATGTCTGAGAGCAGATTGGACATTCTTTCTTTGTAATCATTTTTGTTCATGGCTACAGTCACGTTTCCTTTGTCTGCATTTAGTATTATTATGTCTTTATTTTGGTTAAGAAATTTTCGGGTTCTTTCCACTGTGCCTATCATGTATTTGTCTCTATTGCTCTCTCTGCTTCTATTCATATGTGTTTCCAGCATATTTGTTAATTTTGTTCTTCCCATTTCTTGTTGTTCTTTGTCATTGTTTGTTTGTATGAGATCTTCCGCGTCCGCAATATATTTGAATAAAGGGAAATGTGTTCTTCTTGTTGGTAAGCAGTGTTTGTCTCCTAAGGAGAGTAACCATTTTATGTCATCTGGGAAAGTTTTGTTCGTTTTGTTGACAAACCAATTATCGTTGTGCTTTATGTTGAGTTCCTTAGTCAGTTCTTCTTGTAGTTTGTTGAATTTATTTTTGTGTATTTCGTCATGTTTTTTCTGCGTTCCTGTTATTATGAAACAGACCCGCCGAAGATATACAAATCCCTGATATATTTACCGAATATATCAGAAAGATTGGAAAAGTCAGAAATATATGACAAAAATAAATACACAATAGCACATAGCTCACATAACACAACAAAATCTTTATTCACAAACATGAAAAGTAAAATACCAAAAATGGACAAACATAATGTAGTTTACAAAATTGAATGTGGTGGTAACAAGGAAGAAAGTTGCGGAAAACACTACGTTGGCACAACAAAAAACAAACTAAAAACTAGGATGTCAGCACACAAATCAGACATCAAATTAAGAAACAATAATTCGATACAAAAAACAGCGTTAGCCGAACACTGTAAACAGTACAACCATACACCCAAGATCGATGACGTGAGAGTGTTACAAACGGAACATCACTACAACAAGAGACTAACGATAGAGATGCTTCACATCAATAGTTTATCAACAACAAAGAGAATAAACAGCAAAGCAGACACGGACAACACAGCTTACTGCTACAGGCATTTAACAAAAAGAGATCGTGCAATATGCAAATAATTATCAGTGCAATAGTAACACTTGACGGTAGTAGTCACACTACGCTAGTTTTAAGTTTATTATTTTAATTATTTGCAAGTAAGCGTTTTTTTACATGTTTATGTCCTGTGCTGTGATAATGTTAATATGTTGTATGTTTTGTTATTTAATTTGTAGATCACCCTGAAGATGAAACTCAAAGAGCTTCGAAATATTGGAAAAAGAAAAATAAATAATTAAAAAACCAAAAAGTTTGACCTCAAGCTCAAATAATTGTTTTTATTAACTATCGAAAAAGGTCGAAAAACCAGAGAAAATGTTTATAACAAACGGAGAGCCCGCCGAAATCAAAAACAAAATGATCTACAAACAACTAAAAACTGACAACAAAGTACGATACAACATAAACAAACACAAGAATGTAAAAGTTAGGGTAACAAAAATTAAATCGTCCATAACCTTTCTCATTCGTTGCCGCAATATGGGAATTATCCCCAAGTTCATCAAAAACTCCATCAAAAATGTACATAGAATTTTTATCGCAAGTTACCACAATCACCACATTCAATCTACATTAAAATCATACATAGAAAATTTTGAAGGTAAAATATTAAACTTAGTTATAAAACAAAAACACGAAGAATTGAAATACAATAACAAAATTTTAAGTGACATAGAAAACAAGTTAAACGATAATCTTTCACACGAAGAAAGACAACAATTTCAGTTTAACGAAAATATCATAATAACAGGAACGCAGAAAAAACATGACGAAATACACAAAAATAAATTCAACAAACTACAAGAAGAACTGACTAAGGAACTCAACATAAAGCACAACGATAATTGGTTTGTCAACAAAACGAACAAAACTTTCCCAGATGACATAAAATGGTTACTCTCCTTAGGAGACAAACACTGCTTACCAACAAGAAGAACACATTTCCCTTTATTCAAATATATTGCGGACGCGGAAGATCTCATACAAACAAACAATGACAAAGAACAACAAGAAATGGGAAGAACAAAATTAACAAATATGCTGGAAACACATATGAATAGAAGCAGAGAGAGCAATAGAGACAAATACATGATAGGCACAGTGGAAAGAACCCGAAAATTTCTTAACCAAAATAAAGACATAATAATACTAAATGCAGACAAAGGAAACGTGACTGTAGCCATGAACAAAAATGATTACAAAGAAAGAATGTCCAATCTGCTCTCAGACATGATGACGTATCAACGTATCAATAAGGACCCTACGTCAAACCTTCAAAAGAAAAATAATGATATCGTTGAAGAACTTTTCAAAAATAATATAATTTCGACAATAGAGAAGAAAAGACTCAAAACAGAAATTGCGATTGCCCCAAGAATATATGGCTTGCCAAAGATCCACAAAGACGGCTATCCATTAAGACCCATATGTTCGTCTATAAATTCCCCGTCAATAAAACTGTGCAAATACATAGTAAACATACTAAATAATTTGACGACAAAATCAGTTTACAACGTAAGGGATTCTGTGCAATTTAGGGATAAGATAAAGAACCTGACAGTTAATAATAATGAAAAAATGGTTTCATTCGACGTGGTCTCACTGTTCCCAAGTATTCCAGTAGAATTAGGACTAAATATAATTGAAGAAAGATGGGAAGAAATAGAACAATATACAAACATAACCAAAGACATGTTTCTGAATATTGTAAAATTTTGCATAAAGGACAACAGATACTTCAAGTTTGATGACAAAATATACAAACAAAAAGCAGGGCTACCGATGGGATCTCCAGCATCACCCATAATTGCAGATTTGGTTATGGAATCACTGCTCAACGAAAGCTTGCAAAGATTACAATCAAAACCAAAGATACTGACGAAATACGTGGATGATTTGTTTTTAATTATAAGGGAAGATGCAATACAAGAAACGCTGACAGTACTAAATAGTTTCAACAAAAACATTAAATTTACTTTGGAAGAAGAATGCGACGGAAAAATCCCATATTTGGACACATTAGTAATAAGAAATGCAGATAATACGATAAATATAAATTGGTATCAAAAACCTACAGCGTCAGGTAGAATAATAAATTACTACTCTAAACACACAAAACGAACAATTATCAATACAGCGAAAAACTTAATAAATAGAGTACTAACAATAAGCGACGAACAATTTCATTTCCAAAACAAATTAAAAATAAAAGACATTCTAATTAATAATAACTTCCCATTACATATAACCAAATCCCTAATTGAAAATTATTATAAGAATAAACATTCAAGTCGAGATTCGCAGAAAACAGACCCGCCGAAGATATACAAATCCCTGATATATTTACCGAATATATCAGAAAGATTGGAAAAGTCAGAAATATATGACAAAAATAAATACACAATAGCACATAGCTCACATAACACAACAAAATCTTTATTCACAAACATGAAAAGTAAAATACCAAAAATGGACAAACATAATGTAGTTTACAAAATTGAATGTGGTGGTAACAAGGAAGAAAGTTGCGGAAAACACTACGTTGGCACAACAAAAAACAAACTAAAAACTAGGATGTCAGCACACAAATCAGACATCAAATTAAGAAACAATAATTCGATACAAAAAACAGCGTTAGCCGAACACTGTAAACAGTACAACCATACACCCAAGATCGATGACGTGAGAGTGTTACAAACGGAACATCACTACAACAAGAGACTAACGATAGAGATGCTTCACATCAATAGTTTATCAACAACAAAGAGAATAAACAGCAAAGCAGACACGGACAACACAGCTTACTGCTACAGGCATTTAACAAAAAGAGATCGTGCAATATGCAAATAATTATCAGTGCAATAGTAACACTTGACGGTAGTAGTCACACTACGCTAGTTTTAAGTTTATTATTTTAATTATTTGCAAGTAAGCGTTTTTTTACATGTTTATGTCCTGTGCTGTGATAATGTTAATATGTTGTATGTTTTGTTATTTAATTTGTAGATCACCCTGAAGATGAAACTCAAAGAGCTTCGAAATATTGGAAAAAGAAAAATAAATAATTAAAAAACCAAAAAGTTTGACCTCAAGCTCAAATAATTGTTTTTATTAACTATCGAAAAAGGTCGAAAAACCAGAGAAAATGTTTATGGGAGCTATATCTAAATTTTTACCGATTATCTCCAATTTCAATAGGGTTCGTCTTTGGGCCAAACAAATGTTGTTTGGAAAATTTCATCTCAATCGGATAATAAATGCGACCTGCATTTTGTGAATACATGGACGGACGGACGGACAGACGGACTGGCATGCATAAATCAACTCAGAATGTGATTCTATGCAGATCATCAAAAGGAACTATGGGTCTACCTCGTTTCCTTTTGCCTGTTACAAACAAATGCACAAATACATAATACCCTGACCACCTTGTGTTGTAGGTTATAAAAATTAAAATGCCAAAATTCTTCTTTCGAAATATACCCACAAATTGTGTTAAGTGGCAAAAAATACAACAATATTTATGATAAGAAATTCCCGACTTCTTACATATTTTCTTTGACCTAGTTAGAATCCAACTAGTAGCAAAGGTAAACACAATGACATTTGCATAATATGTATTTAAAATTTAAATGCAGTTCGATTGCAATTATTTCGATATCCCCCAAACAGTATTTTACGCATTAATGCTTCTGTAAGAGGTAATTAACACATGACGACTAAAAGATTTCTTGCAGATTAATAATTTTCCAGACACTGCACTTGACAATTTCTTCATGATCATAAAATCATACTTAATTAAAAACTGATTTATTTCAGTGAATAATATTTTTTAACTGTTGATTGATTTATATCGCAATTATACGGAGATGGTGTTGTATCGAAATCTCTGCCACGTAATTAATTGATTTTGTATGGCATTTCGTTTGGGCTATTGTTCGCATATCACGTTTCACACAATACCATACAAATTGAATACTTGTGCAGCCATATATTCGGAAAATAATTGTGTGATTGATAGATGATTTATAGAGTTTCCAATGAAAGCATTTACAGCAGAGCAGTTGTATTGTACAGAGATAACATCGTTCGCCAATAAAATGCCTCATTAAAAACTCGGTTGTGGGGAAACTATAATTCACATAGTTTCAGTGCTAGTTGCGTTTCAAATAACAACATCTTCAGCAGAAAAACTATAAATGTTTCGCAGAGAATATTCGTACATAGAGGTACATTGAGGTATGGCGCGAGTTTTAATACGTGATCTTTTCCACAACTAAATATTACTTCTATGGGGCCACCAGTGGGATAATAACCCTGGGCATATCTGTAATGAAAATTCTACGAAACCATTTGATTTGTAGTCAATACACCTCGACTAAACAAATCAAAGCGAACGATTGTTGAAACAGTAAACTCATTTTCGGCGATGTGCAACTTCTTTTAGAATTTTACTACTCTAATTATATACCTTCCATCTTGGAAAGGAGGGTAAACATATTAATTTGCCATTCCGTTTGTTACAACAAATATTTCTCATAAGCCCCATAATATATATATTTTTATGACCAGCATAAAATTCTAAGTCGATTTAACGAAGTCCGTCTGTCTGTCCATCTGTCTGTTGAAATCACGATACAGCTCACATTATCTGACGTATAGCTTTAAAATTTGGCACTATTGTTTGCTTTGTGTCTAGGATGGTTGGTATTGAACATGAACATGTCCCGACATTCGGTATTTTGATAATTTTAGCCACATTTTTCCACGGATTTGTCAAAAAAAAATTGGTATTTGTAGTTGGTTATGGTTTTTAGCTCCGGTGGCGGAATATTGCATACATAGCTCCACGTTTTGAAATAGTCCCCATATGAGGGTACCTCCCCATATTTCGTTGTTGATTTTGCCAGATTTTTTAATGGCTTTGTCTTAAAATTTGTATTTATAGTTCGTAATGGGTTCAAGCTACGAAGAATGAACGTTATACACAAAGGCTCACGTAAAAACGGATATTGGGTATTTTGATTGTTTTACCCACATTTTTTCTGCGGATTTTTCTTAAAATTGGTACTTTTAGCTCGTAATGAGCTCTAGCTTCGGTGGCAGAACAGTGAATGTCTAGGTCCACGTTTTCCTATGGCGCACATATAACGGTCCCATCGGATATTCGGCATTTGGACGATTTAAACCAGATTTTTAATAGATTTGTCACATTTACACACGAAATCATGTAAAATTTGGTATTTAAGACTCGCTATAGATTACAATAGTTGTAGTTTAAAATTGTCTATATAGGCTCCAGTTTTAGTATGGTCCCCATATAACGGCTCCAACGATTCTTCTACCTATCTAACTGGAGTTTGTAGTTTAATGTGGAACACTTTTGAAAAAAAATGTTTTCTTTACCCAATGGTGGAGGATATTAGGAGTCAGTCCAGCAGAATTTAATACCTTTTTACTTGTTTTTTTTTTTTTTAATTAATTTGAATTGATTTATATCACAAATATCTGGAGAACCCTACCTAAACTGTTGACTATGTATAGGGAAAGATAAAAAAGCTGCAACCAACTTCAGACTGCTGTCACTAAGCCACTCGTCCGACAACTATTAAAATTATTCCAGTGACAGCTCATTATGTTGCATACAAGCGTACGAAAGCATTTTTTTGAGAATTTTCCAGAAAAAAACTTATTCCTGATGGAATTTATATTTGGCTGGAAAACCACAAGTGGCTATCGTTAGAGCACTCCAGCATTTAAATGTGAACAAATTTTTTGTGTCTCGTAGCGTGGCCCGACGACAAGGAAGTGGACGGAAGAAAACAGCAACATCAACAGAAATGGTTCGAAAGTTAAAGAAGAGACTTGATCGAAAAATGGCTCATAAGCTGAACATATTACAATATCAGCATATATCAGTAGTTTGTAAGCAAACAAAATGATCGTGTTACTTGACGAAGAAGTCAGCTGAAAATGTGCACCTTTGGTTGGCCACCAGAAATAAAGCGTCTGCTACGGTGATGGTGTGGGCCGCCATAACAGTCGATGGTCGCTCTCCACTCGTATTAATCGGCCGTGGCATCAGAATAAATGCCGAATATTATGGCGAAAATATTTTGGAGGGTGCATTAAAGCCTTGGGCACGCAAACATTTTGGCCGCAGACCTTGGACATTCCAACAGGACTCAGCACGCACCACCCAAGAATGGTTACCAAATGAGGTTCCTGTCTTCATTTCCAGTGCACAATGGCCACCAAAATCTCCGGATACCAATCCGTTGGACTATTGTGTCTGGAGTATTTTTTAGAAGGCAAGGTTGGCACTAAAAAATACCAAAGTGTAATCACCTCAAGCAAGCGCTTCACCGGGAATGGGCCAAAATACTGTAGAGCAACAATTGGGCTGTGTTTAACGGTTTCATTGGCCGTTTCAAGGCCATAATTCGTGCCAAAGGTGACCAATTCGAACAAATCTAAACATATTCTAAAATTTCATGCTATTTCCGACATTTTTTGGAATCTAAATTTCAATAGGCTAATGTCTGATAACCAAAAAAGACAACCAATCCCTGCTGGCCAGTCCGCCAAAAACGGTTCTAAAATTATACTTTTGGAAGGGGTGTGGTTCAGCTAGAATGTCATAAACTAAATTTTATAAAAAGTTTTCAATAAATAATTTTGACAGTCTATTGTTGCAAATAGTAGGGCTTTATCTTATCAGTTGTTCTTTTAAAAATAACGTTTTTTTATTAGTGTAAAAGATGTTAATGTTTACCAGTAGGTAAATCAGGGAAAACCATGGAACAAAATTGCCGACATTTTATCCGAAATCTAAAGTTGACAAAAATATTGGGATGTGCGAAGATAATTGGACACAAATTTTACACTTTTCGAGGGTCTGTATCAATAGTAAACATATATTGTAACCAATAACCAGAGGTAGGTCTGGTACAAATATATCGAATACTTCTCTTACTCAATATAAAATTGTTTTTATTTATTTTTGATTTTATTTATTTATATATTTTTTTGTCGAAAATTATCTATAGTGGCGGCGTACAAGTCAAACAAACAAGTCAAATAATAAACACCAAAATTTCAATTTCAATTCTCATTTTATGAAAATTTCATTAAGGAAATATATTTTTCCTCTTACCAAAGAAGAAAAATTTGAGAAGCATGCTATTAAAATTAGTAAACGAAATTTATTTTGCCTTTTCATTGTCTTTTTAAAAATGTTATTGTATCTATTATTCGTGTATGTCCAAAACAATTAAGTTTTTCACCAAACCAAATCCTTAACACCCTCTCTAACATCTTTATGTTGCGTAGTCGCCCGTCTTTCCCGATAATTCGATTTTTTGAATGAACAATTAAGGGGTAGAACGCTTTAACGGCACGTATTGGCGAAATCTAAAGCTTTAAGTAAAATGCTAACAATCAACGTCATTTGTTGTATAAAGGCTACATCGAAGAAGATAATTCACAGCGATAGGCTCCGTTCGAAAACTATTATTGTAATTTCGTGTTCAATGCATTATATGTCAAAAGAAGAAGAAGAATAATTTGAATTTATTTGAAATTTTGTTTATTCTAAATTCTTCTTTGACCCCTTTGCATCTTTCAAGCAGTTAGGAACGTTGAGCTACTCTCGTGGGCAAAGTTGTAGCACCTGTCATAAAGAAAATATCTGGAAACTCTTCATCATAAGGATAAAAATCGTCAAGGCAAAATTGCTCTTATATAATTTTTCCCGGTATTGACTCATAGTACCCCAATCGTTTAAAATTTAGTGAATCATTCAACTACTTAATTGTACCTAAAATATCAAAAAATATCATATTACAATATGCGAAAATTCTAGAAGCGGTTCGAAAGGTCAAGATATTAAAAAAAAATAAAAATTTCAAATCATTAAGCTAGCCCCTAAGAAAAATAATCAGATGAATCATAAGCATATAATCTTGGTTTTAACAAGGCAAAACTCTAGAAATTAAAATCGAATTTCGTCTAAAGAGAAAAAGTTACGACCAATGAACAAAGTTGTGATTTTTCCATAGACAAAATAGTTCCCTTGAAATATTTTGGTCAAAGACGACGTATTGTTAGAAATAACGCTTAAAAACAAAATCCAGCGTAT